TACAATTTCATAAAGGCAGTTTCAGCGTGAAATATTTTAGAAACTGTAAACTGCCTGGCATAGGGACAGTGAAAGGTTCTAATTAAATGCTCAAAAGTATCTAAAATGTAATATGATTATACTCAAGAAAATACCTTGAAATACCTTGAAATAACTACATTTATTTTCAACGTGATTCATTTCATTCTTGTCTCCTTACAGGAAACAATAATAAAAAAGTTTCCAATATTCGCAATAGATTTACGGGATCAAATGTGCGAACGTATATATATTCTACTGGGTATACTTCACGTTGCAGGAGTCTGGTTTCGAGGTTATTCGAGCTCTGTTCCTGCTTTTGTGTTGTTAGCAGGCGAATGCGGGGTTAACCTGACGCCAAGAGAAAGCCAATCTCGAGCTCGCTGGCCATGCGTCAGTAGCATGAGGAGCTTTGTGACAGCAAGTTGACAAGAGCATCATCTTCCAGGTGTAGCAGCTACTCAAACGAACACAAAACCTCAGACGTCTTAGCATGTACTAGTTTCACAAATATCGGGCCAAAACAAACAAATCAATTCGGTAATAATAAAATTTGTTAAAAACGTCAAAAATTATTTATGAGCAAAGAGAAAGAGAAAAATGTCTGAAAGAAAACACCATTTTCACATCACGAGGAAACTGATGTCCTTATGCACTGTTATGTACGTGTTCATGATGTGGAGCATGCTCCAGGTGGCGTTAGCACACAGAAAAGCTGGTCTTACAAACTTTCAAGGTAAGCGTTCTGGAGGATTGCCATAAAATCCACTTATCGGCCTGCTACAGTTTAATGTTTGTTTGTAAATGTTCTTCGCCCAAGCCAGTCTTTACTTGTAGTTATCAATTGCCATCTTAAGTTATATATGTTTGAAGTTAGGATGTTGTTTTACATTTTTGGTTGTAATTTTATGTCTGAGTTTTAAACCATCCGTTTAATTTCAAATTAAATTAAAACCTAAGTTTACCAAATGTGTTATGTAGCGTTTCAAACAGTGCTTATAATCTTTGGAGTTTTTTATATTGTGTATCTAAGTTTGTCCAAGCCTAATATATAGGATTGTTCTGCTTAGATGTTGGTGTTTTTTTTATGCCATTATTACACAATATTTTAACAGCACAACAATTTTTTCAACTTAGTGTAAACCAAGTAGCAACTGTATGAAAGCTATATTGTTTCATCAGAATCCAATTGATTTATTTTAGTTTGACAGCGATAAAGATAATGTTTTGATCTGTAAGTTACTGACTTATCTTTATATTGTTCTCTACCTGGGTAGTCCATATATTGCGTCATATTAAGTAATTTTATATATTTATTTTTATAACACTCAATATAAAGAAATGACGAAGTAACTCATTTCCAATGCAAAATATAATGGATAATTAATGGGATTAACTGCAATATTTAAGGCATTTTGTTTAAACTTGTTTTTAACTTGTATGTTATTACGAGCCCTGAAACCAACAAAATTATGATTAATAAATAATTTGGTGCACAAATAAATTAGGAAAATGTTTTAAAGAAGCGAATGTGGACTCCATCTATAATTCTTGAATTAAAGGGTTTTATATACCTGCGCACTAACATTACTATAGTGAGGGGAATAAGAAAGGTTTTTTTTATTCGTTTGTAATCCAGTTTATTTATTTTTGTTTATGTTTTGATTTAAATCTGCATACTAGATTTAACCTAGCCTAGTAACATAAATTTCAAACTTTTCAAGACTGAATAAAATTTGCTAAAGATGTCGCTCTCCCAAAAGCGCCAGAAAATGCAGTGTACTCAATTTCATAGACAAAGAAATGTATTGAAGTTACTTTAGTTGTTTTGTAATGCTTTGTAAGTCTACCTTTTATATTTCTTTAGAAGATCCGCTTTGTGAAGTTTGTTTAGTTCTTTTTCCTCACGAACATTTAGAAAAGAAGATTACGAGATTCTGCACGTGAGATCACGTTGATGTCTTCTTTCGAAACCAGAATCGCAGACTAACAAGTTAGGCCCGAAAAGCTGTACTTAAAGCCATGTTTAAACCTAATGAAATAATAAATGTTTTTGCTTTTGTAGTTAAATGTTCGAAAATAATAAATAAATTGGTACGATTTCAGAATTTTGTTTATCTACACAAACTTGCTATTAGTATGTATACATAAATCATATACATCGTTACAGAGACGTAAGTAGGAACCAGGGGTGGTGGGAGGCACGCGCCTCATTAATAATTAAATTGGGAAGCCGAATATCATTTGGTCCCTCCAATGCGTTGCTGATAACATTTTTCTATTAAATTATTTCTTTCTTTGTAGTCGGCTAACTTTGCCAGCCGAAATTAAATGAGACTACAATTCGTTGGCAAATTTTAAACATCACGCTATTGGTAACTTTTTGAGTACATGTATAATGTCTATACTGGTTATTATCTGAGACACACACACATTACTTGTCTGATTTACGATTTTTTTTAGTACGCAGCAAACGATTTAATCTGTACTTTGTATGTACTATTCAGTACTTGTGATTGTGTTAAATTATTGAATGATATTTTAAATCGCCTTTGTCAGACAATTTTTATTCATTTGACAAAACTTAATAATCATTACACTTATCATGCGTCATATTTAGTAATTAATATGTACGTGTAATATGTTTCTAATGAAATAATAAATGTTTTTGTTTTTGTAGTTAAATGTTCTAAAACAGTAAATAAAATGGTACGATCTCAGAAATGTCTAAACTTGTTTTTAGCTCGTACATTATTACAAAACCAACAAAATCATGATCAATAAATAATTTGGTGCACAAATAAATTGGAAAAAGGTTTTTAAAAAGCAAATGCAAGAAAGCAATAGTTAATGGGATTTACTGCAATATTTATGGCAGTTTTGTTTAAACCTCGTGCTCTGTTATGTTCGTGTTCATGATGTGGAGCATGCCCCAGGTGGCGTTAGCACACAGAAAAGTTGGTCAAACAAACATTAAAGGTGAGCGTTGTAGATGATTGCCATAAAAGCCAGACCCGAACCTTCAGCAAACTTCTATTTTTTGGGGCCTTCCCCCCTCCCCAGAAAAAGCTTCACGGCCCCAATCATTACTTAAATAGTCTGCGATATGTGTTATAGGTTGCCTGTACTTCCCTGTTTCTCAAGCATTTTTTTATAGATTACGATCCAGTTTATTTTAACCTTTGCATTTTATGAAGTACCTTTAGTTGTTTAACAAGGTGGTTCCGAAACTGTTTTAGACTGGGGCTGAGCCCCCTCAATCTATAAAAATGCCTTAAAATATGATTTACCATTTTCAAAAGATAATTACTAACGAACTATAATTATATCTGCAAAGTACTTTTTCTATTAAATTGTATGTTTGTAATTTAATGTGGCCTTTGCTTATCAATTTATATGTACTATAATTAGACCATTAGCAGTTTATTATGTTTGGGTTAAATTTGTAAACTGGTGAGTAATTAAATACACACTTAATTTTATTTAAGGTTATCTTATTTTCGTTTTAAAATATGAAGCTATCCTGTAATTTAATTAACCCAACATAATTTGTATAGGCTTATTGTTTATTTAGAATTAAATTAATTCAGCGTCTTTGTTTCTGGTCCATTTTTTTAGCGGCCCCTCCCCTCAGAAAAAGCTTCACGGCCCCAAGGAGGGTCGCGGCTCTCATTTTGGGAAACACTGGGTTTCAAATGAATGACGTTTGTCTAAATGTCAATGTCACGGAAGGTGGCAAGTTATCTGTAGCAATCGTATACAAAATACTTTGATTTATACAGTTCAGTGTGACACACCCTGTTTATATGATTGGATAGGCTGCTAATTAGACCATTTTAATACTGTCATTAAGAGCAAATTGGGTAATATTTTATACCAGGGATAGAAACACACCAAAAATCGACCTTCGAATTCCATTGCGGAAATGATATTAAGCGAAAGTACTAATGATAAGAATTTCACAGCTTTTTTAAAGCAAAGTATTAAGTTCAGATGAAGATACGGTTACATAGAGATCTAATTATAAACGAATATTATCAAGACATACGGTATTGTGTCGTGTGGCCAAAACAACCTGCAGGACACGATGTGTGTTCTTAACAGGAGTGATAGTTTAGCAATTTTGCAATTTCTGTAGCTCGGACTGTGCTAATCCAAACTATCACAGGTTTTCAGTGGATGTGCTCTACTGGACTGTTACTCACATACCAAATTTCAAGGCAATCCATTAAGAGATACGTGAAATATAACATCTTTAATTTTGATTGAGTTTCTTCCTACTTTTTTTCTTCGCACCAAAACTACGGAAACTTTATTTGATAGAAATCCATACTTAACTTTTGTGGATTTTTTCAAATTTGTTACACTGGTAGATTTTTTCAACCTACAATTCGGAGTTTCGTTTGTTGTAAGTATAAGCCACATATGCAAATTTATTGAATAAAAACCGCTCAAATTAACGAACTTTTTGCGCACGCTTACGCAAAAAGTCACGTGAGTTATAGGTCTAACATTTCTACTACAGTTTCACCCACAGTAAAAGTGGACCGTTTTTGTCATTCCGATAAAAAACGGCTGATTTAGAGCAGCAAGACTATAGGATAAAAGCACGCGCAGATACATAAGTATTAGTTAGGTCAAGCAAACTAGATTAGTAATTTCTTGCTCAAGTTTTCAAAAGAATCATACGGGTGGACATTTATTATTCATTGCCAACTTTTCAGCACAAGTTTACTAAATTGTATTAAATTATCCTAATTAAAGAGCATTTAGTGTCACGGGATATTAGCTTACGCAATTAACCTAAATAATGATGCTTGATATAGCCGTACCGTGTATATGTGGGTGATGACAAGAAACTGTTAATATGGATTCCATGGCGTTACTATAAAGGAAATTATTAACGCTGTTTTATAGAGGAAAAACTACCACCATATATTTTAAAAGGTTGTGGTGCTAAAGCTAATGTTGGCTACTATCGAGTGTCACTTTCTTACTTGCTGTGGTTTGTTGGTATGTATTGACAAAAAGTCATGATATCTAATCAAAAACACCCTAGGTGTAAAAAAAAAAGGTGTGGTCAAAAAATAATTGAGTGTACGACTTAAAGAAATGAAAGCAAAATTGGCAGACAAACTGGTAGCTACACTTATAGCATTGATATGAATTTTACAGCAAGTATTCACTCATTAGTTAGCCAGGCCGCATTTTTGTTCAACTTGGGGCATGATGGTTGGTAAAACAGAATACGCGGCCTAGCTAACTAATGAATGAATATTTGTTTGTCCGTCAATTTTGATTTCATTCCTTGAAGTCGCACGCTCAACCCCGTTTTTTCACACCTAAGGTGTTTTTGATTAAATTTATATATTAGGAACTTAGATTATTAGCACTGTAATTGCAAATAGTCTCATTCGGAATGCGTTTCCAAGATACGGTTTCACGCTAAAAACCTGGTAGTCTATTGAGTTTTGATATAGATTTTACACAAACCGAAAATTTCTTCATTTCGTAGTAAAGCACAAAATGGAGCTAATAACACCATTCACTGGGTAGAAAATACTTCAGTTATATTATTTTTTAACTTGTTACTATTAAAGGATTCATTTTCACGATTTGGGACTTGGTAAATTTATCTTCAAAGGAACATCTATTTCGAAACCATCTTTGACATCATGTACAATTTTACATTCTTTCATGACGTATTTACTTTCTCTATTATCATCACCTCCATCT